TTTTCAGATCTCCACATTCTACTACTGCAAACTAAAGAAAGGACTAATGTCCCTGGGCTGCTCATTAGGAAAGGCCTTGTTATGTTTTGTCTATGGTTTACATAACTATTTTATAGTTGTCAGTAGAATGTCTAAGATCAGGAATCCCTGGGGTTTATTCCTGAATCAGACAAGTGCACATGGTTAAGTATTTCCAACAGTCGACAGAGCAGCAGTTGCAAGCAGAGAAAGGATAGCTAAATCTGCCTGTGCACTATGAGTATATCGTGAATAGAGAGACAGAACCGAGTCTGCCCTTATGTGCTCATTTATTACTAAAATTCTTATTTATTTCATTGGTCTTTAATAGGATCTCTGAAGTACAAAGCAACACCAAAAGCAATCAGCAGAACCTGGACCATTACTCATGATCACCTGGCTTGCAGGTATAAGGCTGTTATAGGAGGCTCTTTCCCCCAGTACTTCATATATGGGCGTGCTAAGCAGGCACTGCAATAGAATGTTTGAATGAACTGCATTGTCCTCCAAAATCCTGCACGCATGAGAGCTCTGGGATCTTCTGGCAAATGCTGAGCAAGGAGGTGTAAGCAGCATGATTTTCCTGTCCAGACCCTGCTGCCTTGCCAAGAAGGTGCTACTAGGTACTAGGTGCTACTGTGACCTTGGCCAGCTTTTACATAGAGGGGGGAAAGGGGAAAAGGTCTTTTTCTACCCACTCATCACTGTCAGCATTTGCCTGAGGGCTTACACGTATTCCATTTATGTATGTTTTAAAAATTCAGGAGTTATTGAAATATTTATTTCTTAAGATATTTGATTTTGCTTGTGAGGTGTAAGAAACCTTATTACACAGATATCTTACCTAAGCAGCTGCTTTACCTTATCTTTGTCACATATATCTCACTTTTATTATCTATAGAAAGATATTAGCCACATGCTCTCATTTCATTTGAACCCAAGGGGTGGATGGCATCTATTTTTATTTTATGCTTTGTCCTGTTGAGTTCCTGCACATATTCATCTATCCTTAGGTGTCTACAGCTATAGCTGCAGTAGGAGGCGTTTGCAAATGCCAGTGGATTTGCAGACAGCCCAAAGGAGGCAATTACGTACCTTGTGTAAAAAGGAGGTAAAAAGCCCCAGGGCTCTGTGGCTGTAGGAAGCGGAATACAGAAAGGTGCAGCCTGTTGTGGCTGCACTAGCTCAGGCTGCTGGTGCTAACAATGATTTATTGCTCTGCTGCTGCTACTATGGCATGTGGTAGAAGCTTATTCTGCTCATCTGTGTTAATGCTCTCTTAAGACAAACAAGGGCCACATCTGTGCTCGTGTCTTAAGCATATCACTTTCTTATTTTTCATATCCCAATCTCCAGTAACACAACAAACATGAAGAAAAATGGAAATAGCAACCAGCGCGCACCTCATCTCAAATATGTTTATGCCAGTCCTCCTAGAATAACTAGGAGAACATCTCGGTGTCTGCTCCCGACAAATAGTTCAAAAGGGCTTTAGGAAAAGAAGCACACCTTTTTTTTTCTGCATGTAGAGTGTTAAGGGAAAGAAAGTCCTATGGGCTTTGCTTTTTGTTTCAGGAAATAACTTTGCTTTGTTTAATTCTGCAAGTTCCTGTGTTTGAGCTGGCAAACTGTATCTTGAGAGAACTGTGGCCTTAAACTGACCTGACTATGACAATGGATTTTCTCATCCGTATGTAAGTATGTGTATACACACACCCCGCCCCATCTATTTATGTATAGCAGTATATGTATAACATATGGCAGCAAATTCTGAAGTGCGTGGAATTATTTTCAGAGCATTTCTATAATTAAGTTAGGGCAGGAAACATTCTGGAACATTGCTCAGAAAGCGTAGCTGAGGGTATCTGGCTACGTACTTCTTACTGTCTGCCTTGGCTTACTCAGCAGGTCATTTACCCACTTATTTTTCATTTGCCAAAGAGATGACTTTCTCCTTTGTTTTATTTATAATTATGTTGTAGTCCACACTCCCATCATAGAATTATGATGAGGGTCACGGGACACTGCGGAAAATGTCCATTGGTGTGTTACTCCTATCATAGGACCCGTTATAAGAATACAAACTATTCATCAGGACATGCAGCTCTTTCATATACTGCAGACTGGAGCTCTGGCAGTGTATACGAGCAGTGATATGAAGCAAGGCTGGAGGAGGAAAGAAGACTTGAGAACGGTCATACTTTTCAGTGACTTGTTCACCAAAAAGAATGTAATACAAATGGGAAAGGGTGCCTTTGGACTCTAATGGGAGGGTAGGCATTTTCTAACCTAAGACTACTTAGTTTAGTAAAGTAACTTGTATAAGCTTCCAAAATGTGTGCAAGACTGCCATTTATGCCTAAAGTTCAGCAGTTACCTATATTTCTATACAAAAAGGATGTAAGGGCTGTAGAATTTTATGAACAAGATTTCTATTCCGTTAGGACTCTATTTATAATGCAGTTAATGTCTGTAGTAATTGGAAAACTTACATCATTTGTAGCAAGGATATGTGTCTATCCTCAAAACAGACCCCCTTGTTTCTTCATGGGGAAAGTCTACCATTTTAAATTATGTGTTTCATTGCACCTTCTAATGTCCAAGGTCCCCTAGCAAGATTAGTAATTATTGTTATCCACGTTACCTCACTCACAGAGACTCCATCTGGATTACTCGTGCTAGAAGCTGTACAAGGGAAACGTAGCTCACTGAAGTGCTCCCAGTCAGAGAATACAGCAGACAGTGCCTGAAGAGGACGATAACATTCAAGAAAACTGGTGCTGGCAGGTACAAATATCTCCAGACTTTTATTCTCCTTTATACTTATGTCAAATATTGACTAAAAGTATACGCGCCATTCAACCCTGTCTTCCTCCCCCTCTTCTCAGCCTCTCTCCATGAATATTTTGGCGTTCTTGCCAGTTCTGTTTCTTTCCTCTCCCTTCCCGAAAATAAACGCTGTTTCCCCCTCATCCCAGGTGTCCGCGGCTGAGGCGCTGCGCTCTCGCCGACCTCGTGTCGCGCTGCCAGAGCGCTGCC